TCAGGACGAGACCAACCGGGACACTAGGGAGGAACGGCTTAAGCAAGGGAGGCTACATATACGACAGCTTCTTGCGGACAAGAAACGAAAATAGATAGATGGTGGGTGTTTCATTTGCTATGCCTTTTGGCGTGCACATTATGTTTGTTATGTTTCAAGATTCCTGCAGAGTTCGGTTTCAACTATTGTAAAATACCGAGCATGCGCCCAGGTCGCAGAAGCGCCTACCCTCTGATTCGGAACGATCCGCAAATAAGCAAAGGGCATACCAGACACCCATCCACCTGTTTTGAGCCGTGCTCAAAATATTGAAAGAGCACATCAAGCGCCAGGTGCTGTGGCGTCTTTGCCACAATAGCGCCATTCGCAGAGCTGACAGATCCGTGACTGGCGCAAGCCATGGCATGGCCTTTGGGAACCAGGGTATCGAGATTAAAGAAGTAGCGCAGAAATTGGAGGCGAGTGGTGAAGGTGATCAGAGTTAACAGAAAACAAGGACGAAGGGAGTTCCGTCGCACGAGGCATCTGTGTCCCGTGCATGTAATTTTGAGTGTGCTGTAGGTGGCTACCCAAAAAAATTGTTACATGGACGTAACTAATCGCAAACCTCTCTTGCAGTTTCCATGGCCCACAAGCCAGCCGGCGCCAGTTCGTTCTCGTTCAAAGGTGAGGATTCTAGATTTTCTAGATTGCTCTGAAGCAGCAATACTGAAGCCAGACAAGCGGTACGGCATATTTAATTGACAGAACGACTGGGGACGCTTTCACTGAAGCTTGTTTTGCTGCAATACACGTGTGTATTGCAGAAAAACAAGCTTCAGTGAAAGCGTCCCTACTCGTTCTGAGCTCCGTCAATTAAAGGTGCCGTACCGCTTGTCTGTCTGGCTTCAGTGTTGCCATAGGCGACAAAACGTGTGCCCAGTTTTGTCACAAGAGGCATATTATGTCACGCACATGTAATTTTGAATTTATCCGGCTTAGTGTGCTGTAGGTGGCTGGTCAAAGAAATTGATACTTGGACGCAGCTAATCGCAAATCTTTCTGGCAGTTTCTACAGCCTAAGAGACAGCAGGTCCCAGTTTGCTTTTCTTTAAAGGTGAGAATTCCAGATTCCCGAAGCAGGGAATACTGAGGACATATGACCGGTACAGCAGTTTTATTTGACGGAGCTCAGAACGATTGGGAGCTCCTGCATTGAAGCTTATTTTTCTGTAATACAAGCGGGCGACATTGACACGTGCCCAGTTACGTCGCAAGAGGATATCTATGTCTCGCGCATGTAATTTTGAATCTTTCAGACTTGGTGTACTTTACGTGGGTACTCAAAGTAACTGCTACTTGGACGCAACTAACCGCAAATCTCTCTTCCAGTTTCCACGGCCTGCAAGCAAGCAAGCACCAGTTCGTTTTTCCTCAAATGTGAGCATTCCAGATACTCTAGTTAGTTGCGAAGCAGGAATAGTGAAGCCAGACGAGCGGATACGTATATTTAATTGACCGAGCTCAGAATGACCTGTGGCAGTGGCATTGAAGCTTATTTTTCCACAATCAAACGCAGACATAATTTTGAATCTATCCGGCTTGGTGAAGGATTGCTACTTGTCGCAAACTAATCACAAATTTTTATTTTGCAGTTTCTATATGGCTACAGCTAGCAGGTGCTGTTTTCATTAAGGTGAGGATTTCACATTCTGTTTTCAAACATCAAGTTTTTGAATGAGAGTCCTAAACAATTAACTTTCTTTTGCAGTAAATGCCAGATCCTCCAGTTCAGGAATATGTTAAATATATTTGGAATGGATAAGTCCAGTGTTTTGCTTCTTTATTCACAATTTGACAACAGCAACATTTTTTTAATTTATCACTCAGAAATACACACAAGAAGAGACTGCGTTGCAGAGAAAGGTTGCGCTAAACGTGATATTCCAACTCGTATATAGTTTTATTGGTAGCCGATATAGCATATTGGATTCCAATATCCATAATATGCTGAGTATATTGGAATCGTAATCCCTTATTGGATCCCCAAACGACATATGGGGATCCAATAAGGGTTTATACGGTATTGGATTCCAATATTTTCAGCGTATTATGGATATTGGAATCCCATAACAAATCCTTATTGTAATACAATACAATAAATGTAATGTTTTCCAATACACTGTCTATATTGTATTGCAATACAATAAAAAGATATTGTTTACCAATATCCATAATACGCTGTTTATATTGGGGTTTTCCAATAGGGTTGAGGGACGCCAGACGTTACTGTGCGTGTGGTAGGTTTTACATTGTTAACAGAACTGCATTGAGTGCGATTAGTGAGGACTTCAGAAATCCAATTGACTATAGAGGGGTGAAGATTTTAATATCTCTTAGTTTCATTAAAAGACGTTGATGAGGGACCTTGTCGAATGCTTTGGAGAAGTCAATGAAGATGGCTTCAGTTTGAAGATTGGAATCGAAATTTGAGTAAACGTCAGTTAGAAATGCTGTTAGCTGAGTTTCGCACGAGTATGACTTGCGAAATCCGTGCTGGTGCTTGAAAAAGAGGATATGAGAGCCAAGAAAGTTTATTATGTTAGAATAGAGAATATGCTCCAAGACTTTGCCTGAAACACTGGTGAGCGAGATGGGACGATAGTTGCTGATTTGTTGGCGATCGCCTGTTTTATGAACGGGTATGACGTTAGCAATTTTCCAATCGGATGGAACTTCAGAGAGTTTAAGTGATTGAGAGAATATGTCGCAAAGGAAAGTGGAAGAAATGTTTTTAGTGCTTATTAATACCTTAGAGTTCATTTGGTCACCTCCAGAGCTGGACGACACATTCAGTTGACCTATAGCCTTAAGTACTCCAGTGCGGTCAATTAAGATAGGATTCATAAGAAGGTGAGTGGATTGGCACGAGTCGGGAATATTTAGCAAGTCCTCGTTAGTAAAGAATGAGAAGAATAAATTGTTAATAGCAAGAGCGCCGTGTTTATCTGAAAGTGGAAGTCCGTCGTCATCTACAAATTGCAAAGGAAGTGATAGTGCTGGATTAATTATTTTTCAAAACTTCTTTGGTTTGGTGGTTAGTACGTTGGGGAGGTCGATACTATAAAATTTGGTTTTGGCTTGATTAATGGCGGATTTATAAGCCCTAGCGCATTCGTAGTAGGCGTTCCAGGAAGCCGTAGTGTTAGCAGCCTTAGTCCGTTTAGTCTTTTTAGAGCGCAGCTCTTAGGGGCCCATTCCCGGCTTAAGCAACGTCGCCGCCGCCGTCGCCGTAGCCGTCGGCGTAACCAAGGTCACCCCAAGGTCACGTGACCCCCAAGGTCATCACAACGTCACGTGACCCCCAGATTACTACAAGGTCACGTGACCCCCAAGGTCACGTGACTCCAGCCCCAGGGTCACGTGACACCCAAAGTCACGTGCCTCCCCAAGTCACGTGACCCCCCCCCCCCCCCCCCGAGGTCACGTGACCCCTCCCCCAGGATCACGTGACCCCCAAGGTCACTTGACACCCAAAGTCACGTGGCTCGACAAGTCACGTGACTCCCCGAGGTCACGTGACCCCCCCCCCCCCCCCCCGAGGTCACGTGACCCCCCCCCCCCCCACCCGAGGTCACGTGACCACTCCGAGGTCACGTGACCACCCCGAGGTCACGTGACCACTCCGAGGTGACGTGACCCCCCTCAGGGTCACGTGAACCCCTCCCCGAGGTCACGTGACCCCCCTCAGTACCCTTTCCTACTCATCCTCAAGAGCTGCGCTCCAATTCGGCGTTACAGGGATTTGTAAACGGCTTTCATTTTTTTTTCTATTGGATTGACTATGAATTGTTTATTGTACCAATGGTTAGTGTTATCAGATATATTACGAGTCAGTGGAATAAAACGTTCGATTAGGTACCTAGATCATTTTATCTTTGAAGACAGTCCAGTTTTCATTAACCGTTCTTTCCCAGAAGTTAATGACCTACAAGTTAGCTGCAGACACTTTACATTTATTTCTTCAGTGACAAAATTGGCAACTGCCTTTATCTCTAAAGTCCTAAAATGCATGAAATGCATTATTTAAAGTGAATTAAACCGTTGTGTCGGAAATTGAAGAACCTTTATTGTTATCAAATTCACCGATATATATGGGAAAATAAGTTGCTGTATACGTCGCCCTACGTGAGGCCGCGTCATATCAATTTGCCTTCTAAATTTAGCGGAGAATCAGAATTGTCGTATAGTTCACGTGACGTCACATCACGTGACATAAATTCACGTCACGCGACCTAAACGCCAATTCAGTTTCCCCACTAAGTTGAGCGGGAAACGCACTCGCGGACGAACGGACGAAATTTTGGGATTGGGGAGTATCCTTAAAAAAAAAATTCACGCTTCAAAAGTCAAAACGAGCGGAGTGGTAGTTAGAGCGATTATTAGAGCTACCAGTTGAAAATGACTGGAGCGATCCTATTCGCACAGTAACATTTGACAGCAATTGACTGTACGCTGGTGGACCTTAAACCGAGATACGTCACCCCGGCAATCGAGCATTGTGTCGATACTTGCCGTGCTAACTACATCTCGTCGCAAGACCCTCGCAATGTATTCAATCTGCTCAAAGCTACGACAGAATTTACTCTCAGGCATGTTGTAGCGGACAAAACAGTCCGCGATACCCGGTTGAATAGGAGGGTGCTTTTGTAGCGAGGGGATAGCTCTTGTGACTTGATGAATGCTCTTACCGGGAAGAACGAGCGCTTGGGTGAGGGGGGCCGTTGATGTTCCACCTTACGATGAGTCACAGGGGACGAGCCATCAAAGCCAATCCTTTGCCGTTTTAGTGTCACGTGACCTTCCAAAGGTGCGCAGTGACCCGTGGGGCGCGGAGTGATGTGTTGTACGTTCACAGCGCTGAATTGAGAGGGATGGCTCGTAGCTTCGGCTGTGGCACACCGTAAGGCGGGGGGTAAAGTATGGCGCCTCGATGACGACGCAGCCGGTTTTTCCCGCAGCCAAGGACCTGTTCGACGAGTGCCGCGCCACGGAGGAGTGCACGGTGAGCAACCGGTACCTTCAGTGCGCGAACCGGCTCTGCGTCTGCACCGCGCCCTACGTCCTCAGCCAGCACGACGAGTGCGGTCCAGGTAGGCACATGTCGAGAAGGAAACGCATGACGTACGCGCGATCCCGTCACACCGAGTTCCAAACAAGACGCAGAAAAAAATAAAACTAGGAGAAGCCAGTTGTTTTTCAATTCGTAGAGCAGTCATGGCAATGGCTGCGACATCTGATCGAACCCTTACGAATCCTCGTCTATCACCCTGCGTGGAGAAGGGATTATCGCCAATAGGGCTGTAGCTCACGCTTTAAGCGGCGCTCCTGGCGAATGCAATGTAATATTTTAAAGCGATAGTTTTAAGGAGCTCGTGCTACAGAATAGCCGGCGTCGGCGTAAGTTGGGAATCCAGGATTGGTCATGTCGTGACGTCGTGGGTCGTGATGCGTCATGACGTCAATGGGCTCATGACGTCAAAGCCATTTGACCTCGCGCGGGAATTTGAAACCAGCCACGACGCTCAGGTGAAACGTGACGTCCATTGTGTAATGAAAGCGAATGAAACGTTACATGTAATGCGAATCAAAGGTCGCCGCATATTTAAAATAATTTCACTTTATATGGCAATTTATTTGCCTAGAAGATTAATTTGAAGAACTTTTAGGCGGAGGTGGGATTCGAGCCCACGACCCTAAGGTTGCGAGCCAGACATGCAATCGACTAGGCCACGCAGGCGCTTCTTTTTTTTTTTCTTCTTTATTCCTAGGCTACGCAGACGCACTTGCACGGCTTGGGAACGAGCGAGTGTTTATGTGTTTCGCTATAGCGTTCCACTCTTAAATTCAGAGTTTGAGCATTGTGCTGTAATTTTGTGGTCGCATTTTGATTTCCCACGAACGATGTGAATGAAAACAACACGGACAAAACACTCGAAAGGAATGCATTCTTAGCGGTTCAACAGGACATCAACCTGCAAACTTTTTGTTACGTGCTCTGTTAGCGTGCATTGACAGAGACGCGAGTATTTGGGGGTCCCTTTCAGTGTACCCCAATATACTTCATCCTAGGACACTTCATTTCAGGACAATTCATCCCAGACACTTTATACCAAATATGTTTCATCCAAAGACGTTTCATCCCAAGATGTTTCATCCCATGTGCATTATATGCCATAATATTTTATACTTTTAGTGGCTCTGCCACACTCTATCCCCGAATACTTAATTCCCGGAATTTTTTACCCGGTCACCTTATACCAAAGTCATTTCATCCCAAGATGTTTCATATCCCAAGACGTTCTATGCCAGTGGCATGAAATATCCAGGCATTTCGTACCAGAATAATTTCGGGCACCCACGAGTTGCTGAGCTCGAGCAAGACGAAATTTTACAGACTATTCTTGGCGTACCATCAAAGTCGTCGTGTTAATTTAAAATAGGTTCCATTTCACCGGTTGTAGCACTTAAATGAACGTAATTTTGGGGTTTGCATAGGAGTGCCCACAGACAACTCGGTACTGTGTCAATTGTCCACACAGTGCAGGCCTGCCGAAGCAACCTTCACGCGAATGCTGGACGTGCTTGAAGGCACGGGGCGCCAATCAGGACGCCATGCTTGCAAACTTAAATATCGGATTTATTTCTCAGAAAGTTGTCCCGTCCATAGCCCAGTTGTTTGGGCGGTTTAATTGTATAAAAAAGTTTGAAAGTTTGAAAGTTTATTGGGTTTTTCACGGGCCATGCCCGGTAGGGAGGTAGTGGCAAAAGGCATTTCTGCCTGACTGGGCCTCTACCCCCCCACAGTTTACAGAAGTGCAAAAGGTGGCACAATCATTGTATCATTCCCTCTGCCCAAACACACATGCCTGTGTACGCAAAATACATTTCATTCAACGGACTGAAAAAAATGTTCATTTCACACAACAAAATAAAGAAAGAAAACTCAGAAGTTCTAGTATTCACATGTCCAGTGGTGAACCCAAGGTAACAAAAAACAAAACATTTCTACAACGCGTAACAAATGTACTTGTCTATAATAATTTGTTTTATCCCTTTCTTGTACTTATAAAATGACAGTGCAAAATCAGTGTAATCTTCCATAGTGTTTAGTAATGCAGGAATCTGATAATCGATTTTTTGTTTTCCATAGTTCGTACGCACCTTAGGAGTTCTACGTTTACTATTTCTCAATAAATAAAGTTGTGAAGCAGATTCATCCACTCCGTAGAGTTTTCTTTTGTGTATTGTCTGCATAAGTTTGAAATAGTAGATTTGATTTGCTTTGAGCATGTTATGCTTAGTAAAATAAGGGCTGCTATGAAATTCGCGAATATTTCCACGGTAGTTTTCCAAAATTCGCAGAACCTTTTTTTGAAGTACGATTAGTTTACCAGCATGGGTCGCTAACAATCGTTAGCGACCCATGAACGCTAACGATTGTTAGCGTTCATGGGTCGCTGGTTATGTTCGGGAAATGGAAATTTTTGTTTTTGTATAAACTGACGCCACCGGGAGCTCCCGGGAAGGGCACCCGCGAATGGAGGTTCCAACTAACAGCAGTTACTGTACAAAATACGGTGCTTCTTTGTTTCTAAAAGAGGCATCGCAATGTTGCTGAAAATAGATTTCCTAAAACACCCTCTCGCGGTGCACCATAAAAATAAAAGATGCCGAATTTATTGCTGTCGCTAAGCTATTCTCGTCGAAATGCGTTAGCATTTAGCGTAGGGGTTCTGATTCAGCGAAGGATGGGAATTCCAACCTCCCAAAGGTTCGCATACTGTTAAGTCGGCAGAGCCAGCATGTTCTATCTGGCGTCGGCGGCTTCGGATGCACCCACTGCAGCTTCCCTCAATCGCCGCCTACGGTCCGCATACTCTTGCCTTTGAGGAACAAATCTTCCCTCAGGGGTGCAGGCTGTTTCGCAGAAACGGTGTCGTCGCTGCGTTTCGATTTTACCTTGTCGCGTACGTTGTGCCACCGACATGGCCGCTCGATCTCCACCTCCGCCCGCTCTCCCGGCTCATCATGGAAAACGTGCCAGGTCAGGAAACTCTTTGCTTCTTGTAAGAGAGAAAGTGGACGCAACGAAGGGTGGACCGGGGCGAAAAAGCGCAGGGGGAACCGCGCTGTGCCCTCACGAATCCTGTCCCCTCCAAACCACGACCGGCCAAACGGAAGTCGAATGCATCCACCAAAGCAATAAATGATAATGCATTTAAAAGTAGCAGAGTGTCACTACGAGAACACTTAGTGAAAAACGTGCATCCTGTTTCTTCCACAGGCACTGGAGTGCGTATCTGGCTCGCCTGGGTCCTCCCCATCGCGGTCGTCCTCCTCGGTGCGGTGTCCTGCGCCGTTACTAGACGGTGAGATTCTGTCAAGCTTTTCTCCATCCCATGTAAAAAAAAAAAAAAAAAAAAAACAATTGCGTAAAACGCGCGCAGTGAGGAAAGTGTAAACACTGCCTGCAGTATCTTCTGTCTCAATGCGTGGGCCAGGAATATCGAGAGGTGGGGGAGGTAGCAAAACGGTGCATTGCTTCAACACCAAACTATCTTTCGAATAAAGAAATAATTAAAAAAAAATCCTGAATACAGCAGCAGGATATAGCTTTTCACGAATTCGTGTTTTGTTATAAGAGTCAAAAGCCGGAATGAAACGACGGGAATTTCCTAGATAAGGTGTCAGCTTACACCTCAAATGCTTAGTTATTGTTATTAATGTTCGATAACTCCGTGCAGGTTCTGCTAGAGTTAAATAAATAAAAATAAAGAAAATCTAAATTTTACGGATACTCCAAAATTTAGAAAGCCGGAGGTGAATCAGAGAAATAGAGCTTGCCCGATATTTATTGATCAATGTTATCCACAATGCGATAGCAAGAATGAAGCAATCGCTATTTTTGTTTGCAAAGTCTTTCTGGCTGTGAAGTAATCCATAATTCAAGTGCTGAGACTATTACAAACTGATAAGTGGCTGTGGCCCCCGCGTTTAGCCTCTAGTCAGGGGCGCCATGGGAGGCGGCCACTGCGTCGTTACGGTTTACCAGCCACTACTTAGCGGCAGGCGTTCAGCCGCTCGTCCCAAAGGCTTGGGGTAGAGTTGGAAATAGGGCGGCCATAGAAATGGCATTGCCAGACCATGTGCATAAAGGTGAGACGGCCGCCGCAGCGGGGTCACTGAGCTAGACATTGGGAGGGGTGGAGTGAACAGTAGAAAAGGGGCGAGAACACCGAACCACACAATAACTTGCTGACATCTTTGTGGCGTGAGCCTCTTTTGAACTTCCCGCTTTTTACAAGCGAGGCACGCACGCGCGTGTCGTGGGGCACGTGACTTGTGCAGGACCATGAGGGAATAATTATTCTTTTTGGTTTGCCGTGACACGGAGTCAGTCGCATTAATTTCGGGTGCCACCGAGTACCGATGCATAGTGTCAGAAGTGGGATTCCGCCGCCTCTGAAGCTTCGGGTGTCGCCTTGCGGTTGCGGACCGCACCGAGTCATGGATCGGGCAAGCGTCGCCACCGGACTCGCCCTCAGGCCGCCTGAACCCTTCCGCTTTGGGTACGCTTCGAAGTGGCCGGCGTGGATCGCCGAGTTCGACGATTTCCGTCACGCAGCCGGACTGGTCGCACAGAACGAGGAAACCCAGGTACGAACGCTTCTCTACGTCATGGGTCGCCAGGCTAGGCAAATTTTCAACACCTTCGGGTTATCTGACGCCGACGCCAAGAAGTACGACACCGTGAAAGCGAGATTCGACGGTCACTTCATTCAAGTCAGGAACGTAGTATATGAGTCTGCATGTTTTGCTGCCTTTGCTGCCTGACCCTACTGCCTGACCGTACTTAACATTTGCCCAGAGTAGTAAAACTTTCAATAAATAATAGGAATGGCTCTATTTGAAGAAACCCAGAAGCAAAAAAAAATGTTTATTGAACAGAACAGTTTTTGTCAGTTGGGACATGTGTGTCCCGACAGTACTACTGGCCTATAAGAAACACGAGGTTGTTAGGAAATCTCGTGAAAAGCTGCAAATCAATTCCTTTCTTTAGATATGCAGAGAAACACTCCGGAACAGGTGCATTTGCTGAAAGGCCGTGATTCTTGCTTGCGCTGTGCACAGACCTCGCACCTTCCACGTTTTTCTCCAAAAACAGGCCGATGTGAGCCGAGACTACTACTTCGCACATCTGCACACACTGAGTAGGAGGATTTGCGCCGCTTGAGACACTGTCCACCGGCTTTGCTATCTGAATCCCTTTTTCGACTAGACGACTGTCCCATGGTGAGGAGTCCCATCACAACGGAGCGCTTGTAGTCCAGGTAGGGGATCTTTTCGTTGAACTCACAGTAGGCGACATAGCTGTTTACAAGACATATGTCTAGGAAACCAAAAAACAAACGGTGCCACCATTTCTTCAATATTTTGTCGGTTCCATATATACTCCGTAGCATGTCCGCCTTGTCAATACCTCACATGAACATGTTATAGTCCGAGAGCGCAGTCGGGCACGAGAACGTTATTTTTGTGCCGTCTCGCTCCGTTCTTTCCACAGTTCCCACTTCACAGCCATGGTAGTTCGAAATAATGTAGACTACCTTGTTGTTTTTCCATTTGGAGAGAGTTATTCCTTCCTCGGTCGTTTTGAAGTCGTACTCTCTCCGTGTCAAGCTCTTGTCAGAGCGAAGTTCTGGAAGCTGCCTTCGGTTGCTCCGTATTGTGGCATAGGCACATGTTTTTTCCATTTTCAACTTCGCCATCAGTGGCACGGAGGAGAAGTAGTTGCCGAAAAAAAGCGTGTAGCCCTTTCCTAGGATCGATGAAGAAAGGTCAAGAACCACACGTCCCCCCAACCCAAATTCAGACTGAAGTTCAGATGTTTCTACTGGCTTTCCTTGATACACCTGGAAGGTCTGGATGAAGCCCGACATGTCTCCCAAGCACCAAATTTTGTAGCAACGTTTGATCGGTTTCATGGGGTTATACGGCTTCATTGATGACCTTCCTTTGAAGTGTATGATGGAGTCGTCGACGCAGGCCTCTCGTCTCAGACCATAGGCTAGTTGAAACTGCCTATTCAGCCCATCTATCAGTGGCCTCAACTTGTAGAGCTTGTCGTTGCACTGACTGGATAACAGTGAATTATCATTTAGATGCACGTTCGAAAGTATCCTGGAGAACCTGTCTCTCGACATAGTTCTTGAAACCAATGGCACCCCAAGGTCTGGGGAACCTGACCAGTAGTCCCTCCAAGAGGGAAGTTGATGATATCCCATCAAGAAATTGATGCCCAAGAAGCCAAGCAGCTCTGTGGTTGACAGCTGGAGCTCAATGCCCTTTTGCGTGGCATAGAGGTTGCTTTGAAAAGATATTTCCTCTTGCAGTGGCACGTGAAACAGAGCTAGAAAAAATTCCACCGTTGTTGAGCAACCACAGAACACGTCTTCGGAAGCCCCTTCCTGTTCCTTGAACTCCGGTCTCTCAGTCACGTGCTGCCTTCGACGCCACTCGTAGCGTTTCTGACGAAAGGAAAACGCAGAGACTGCGGCTACTTCTTCTGGACTTACACACGAGTCTTCAGAGGCTGGGTTGTTAATGACTCCGCCTGTGCTGTGCGATTCTGCTTGGTTGTAGTCCGTCCCTGGCCCTGAGGCGTCGACCAGATTTACTTGGTCAAGCAACTCTTGCAGATCACGTGGGCAGTTAGTCTTTCCTAGTTCCCTATCCGGGTCATCAAAATCAGACTCAATATCCGTATCAGCTGAATAATCGCAAGGTAGGTCTTCAAATAGGAGCTTGTCGATTTCATCACGGCTAAGTGAACTTCCACCTGCTGCCATGCTGAAAAAATAACGAGTAGTAGTATTTAGTAATAGCAATATTTATTCAAATATCCGTCAAACGTCGAACAAAGTAACATTAGCCTAATTTGAAGCCTAAACTAAGCAAACAAAACAAGCTTTTTCAGGGCGCGAAAAACGCTGCAGCGCGTTCCATTTTTGTCTTGTAGTATGACGGGACATGAATGTCCCAGGGAACAAACATTCGCTTAATTGAAAAAAAATTTAGCCGGGCGGCGCTCTATATTTATACGTGCTGCCTCAGAAGCTATTAGTGAATGCACATATGGTCGCGCAATAATGTAGAATAAAAATTACTTACGTTTTCGATGACTTTCGTTTCATGAATCAAAGAGCCCGCGCAAACACGCCTTCAGCCATCTTGAAAATTGTGTTCGCGCGATCGCAGCGCCAAAACGGTACGATTTGGAAATGCAGCCAATGCCACCAGTGTCCCGACAGGTTTTGGCCGGGATATGGAGAATGCAGGAGATAATAAAGAATCGCAAACTTTTGGGACATATGTGTCCCGTCAGGCGGGAAAGGGTTAACAGACGGGAGCAGGGGCCCACTGAAACAGTGGACCAATACGTAACCGTGCTATACAACATGGCGGACCGATCCGACTACGGAAACCTGCGTGACCGCCTGATTCGTGACCGCATCGTTCTTGGGCTGCGAAACAAGTCACTCTCGGAATCTCTTCAGTTAGACGCTGCGCTCACTCTGACTTCCGCGCTTGCCCAGGCTCGACAGAAAGAGTCTGTTCACAAGCAGCAGTAGTTGAGAGAGATTGAAGTGCAACCGCCTGTCAAGACTGAAGACGCCGACTTGGACGCAGTGGCGGAAGGCTCGTCATCTAAGCCTCGCAGCAATCCATTTTCTTCGAATGCGAAGCGAACCTCACGAGCAAAACAACCAAGCTCCACGTGCGGTTATTGCGGAGGATTGCGTCACGCTCGTTCTAAGTGCCCTGCGCGAGCCGAAAAGTGCGTTCGATGCAAGACCAAGGGTCGTTACGCACGTGTCTGCAAGAAGATGCCTGGAGGAACCAAAGGCATTTCCTCAGTGGAACAGAATTCAACACCGACGGTTTTTCTCGGCGCCGTCGGGGAGTTCGGTAGACGTCCAGACGCTAAGTTCGCGACGATAACCGTGAACAACGTTTCACTGACTCCAAAGATCGACACCGGTGCAGAAATCTCCGCGGTCCCAGATACATTTTCGGGAATACCGTCTTCTGGCCTGCGCTCAGCAGAAGAGGTCCTTTCGGGGCCCAGTGGACATGCCCTGAAGGTGTTGGGGGAGTTTGACGCTGTCATGAGATGGAAGGACAAGTCCAGAAGGCAAGAGGTTTGCGTTGTACAACAACCTCGCACTGCCTATGCAGAACTTGGGACTCGTCAAGTTTCTCTGCAGCACCGAACGCCTCGAGAAGCGCTTTGCTGAATTCTTCAGTGGCCTTGGGACACTTCCAGGAGAGTACACCATCCGACTAGACCCAGCGGCGGTGCCTTACTCGAG